TACAGTTTCAGTGATGCAGTTTTAAAACTGGAGGAGATAGTTGTGTTGGAAAAAGCATACACCTAGCAACTGCAATTCCTGCTAAAAAAAAGATGTGTGCTGAGAGGATACAAAGGTTGGTGGTATCACTTTTGAGTTCAAGTAATACTGAATCAACATGTTATGGAGGCACATCACTCCCAAAAAGCACCTAGCACAAAGCCTCAATAAAGAAATAAGGAGCTCAGCAACAACTGTTTCAGTCCAATAACTCTCTTCAATCACCACACGAAAAGTGGCAGTACAGATACAGGCAGTTAAGAAAGATAGAAGCTATGTAAACAAATGGCAAACACATTTGAGACTAGCTATGTGCAGGCAGTAAACTACAGAAAAAAAATGTGAAGTCTCAGTAACTGGCAGAACAGATCTCGAAGGGTAAAACACAACCAAAACATTTCTACAGGAGGGCACAGTTTGTTCCTAAAGGATGAAAAAGCATGGTGCTGTACTATGCATCAAGAATGTGTAAAACCCTGTGATCCAGATTATAGGCAGGCAGATGGAAATCTCTGGATAACAGCAGACCATTAAAAATAGGAAGACAAACTACGAAAGCCCTGTTTTTGAAAATAATGTCATGTCTGGGCAGGGCTTTTTTATTTCTTTTTAACAGGAGGATAAGAATCTAGATAGAGACATAGCTGTTTGTCCTGCTGTATTTCTAATTAGTTAGAAAGATGTTTCCTAGAAGTTTGAAAATGTAAAGGTAGAAGATAATTTGGGCAACAGTACTCACAAAACATTCAATTTACGATTCTTGTAACAGCAGAATGAAAGCAATGAATTTCAAGAAAGAGATCCCTTGGGAAACAGGGTAAAGTGAAGGTAAGGAGATCTTTAATCATATTGTTAATTTTTCCAGCAAGAACACTCCAATTTTGTAGAAACAAAAAAAAAGCAAGGAACAAATAGAAAGAGCTATTAAAGAAAATAAAGCGAATATGTTTATACTTGCGTTATTTGTACACAATTGATCAAAGAAACAATCCACAACACTACAAGGATGGAAAGCTATTTTCTTGAAGTACTTTTGCACTACTTCTGTGCATAGCTAAAAATGAGCTGCAATCAGATGGAAAACACAATACCATTGACAAAAAGGATGTTATTTCTGTGAGATGTACACCCACAAAGATGCTCAGAAAGACAACGGCAGCAGAGGGAGCCCAAATAATACCCTGCCGGGTATATTATTATAATACTCCCAGACCCACCACAGAAGCCATCAGCCAAAGGCTGATCTGCACAAGCCCAGAGGAGCACAGGGGCACATAATGGCAGGCAGGAACTCAAATCAAGGCCTCCCAAGGAACATTCATCAGCTGTTGTTTCATGTTGGAGAAACTAAGCTGAATGTTAGTAAAAATATCAGTGATTAACAGATGTGCCTTGTTTACTGAAAAGTTCTTTAGTGACCACATTATCCTCATAGCTACTTCACACAAAAAAAGGCGGGTGGGGGGGGAAGCTGAAATTCCAACTTCCCTGTGCAATTACAGTCACAGATTTTTAGAAGATTACACACATTCATGTTACTGTTAAAGTATGTGGAAGCTGACACTAAGTACAAGGATTATTTTCAAGAAGGCATGATACTAAATTTTACACAAAGGTATTCCAACAAAAGGTAGTAAACTCACAGAATCAATCGAGCCAAGAATTAGGGCAAAAGGGTAGACAGCAATCATTTCACAGCCTTGAACTCAAAGCTGCCTTCATCTAGTTAATGCAAAGTACAACTACAGAAGTATAAAATTTACTAGGTCAAGCGTTAAGCCACGAACAAGAGAAGATCAAAACAAGAGCACTATACTGTTCATTTACTTTATTCTAAGTACTTCAAATGTGTGCTCCAGATTTCTAATCTGCAGATACATTGTTAGCACAGTTGTAACACAGTTCATTGAACTGAAGGACCAAAACATGTTAAATGATGGAACAGGTTAGTATGGAACTATGTAAACCCTAAGAACATCTGAAATTATCAAATGACTGTATTTTCACATTTCGCAGAGTTGTGGATTGTAAACCTGCTACCTCCAGAAATACCAGTACTTCAAAATAAAAACTTACAATCTCACCTTTAGGCAACCCACACAGAATCAAGGAATGAAGAGAATCAGTGGCTTTTGGGAAAGAAGGAAAAACTAAGCACTTAAAACAGTTATTTCAGGGGTTACACACCTGAAAATACAACAGTTCTTTTGCACCCTCAGATCAATGCAAATTTAACTTTAAAATACAACGGGATTGAAAAAGGAAAATAAGAATGAGAAAAACAGGACTGGTAAAGACTTCTAGTGGTAGCCTAATACCATTCTGCTTCAAGTCATGATTCATTACATCTGAATAATTCTCCTAACACATTCTTCAAGACTGGTAATGAAAGAGATTCCAAAAGATTTCAGTTTTTCTTGTTATGTGTTTATTCAGAACTTATAAGCAATGACAGGTCTAAACAATAGGGGGTCTAAATTATTCTAGCCTGCATAGAAATATACAGAAAAAAATATAGTATCTTCTTCTGAATGACCTTTATGTACTTGAAGACTGTGATCTCCTCTGTAAACTGGTCAAAATCCTTAATTTACTCCCAAAGCCCATGAGTGTTTTGCAAAAGGATGACAGCTAACCAATTTCATTATTTATATCATCATCACTGAGATTTGAATATGTCACCAGTTTCACATCAGTTAAGTAACATTTATTTATAAAACTGGATGAAAAACATCTGCAGTCCTTTAAAAAAATTTAATGTATGCCATTGATTAATAAAACCCTTAATAATCCAGTATTTTTTATTTCCTCCAACAGCTTCACCCCTGAATAATATTAAGTTACAACACTGTACCATATAAGGTAGCAAAGGTGGATGTTTCAGATGATGGAAGCATGGAAAAATTATCCTATATGGGAAAATTAAATGCATCCAGAAATTGGTGCCAAGGAGTGAAGCTTGGTGGCTTAGCTTACATCCTGGATTTTAAGCATAAGCTATAAATACCCATATACACACAAAAAACATTCTGTCTGTTAACTACTCTAAGTAAAAACCTGGATTTAAAGGATATAGTTGCATACACATTCACCAGCAGTGCTCTGTACCATAACAAATACTTAACAAAAAGCATCACATATTTACCTGAAGTTTGGAAAACCTCATTCAGTAAAACTTCATTTACCATCACCGAACTGACATTTCCAACAGGATGACACCAGCTCTGATAAATAGTTTGAAGCAGAAGGGTTTGAGCTCTAGTTGCTTGAACTGTCAAATTAGGAAGTTCAAATATACATTCTGTTAGTGGGACATGAGCTCGCTTGGTCCTGTTTAAAATAGTGAGAAGAAAAAAAAGGAAAATCATTACTTTAGTGCATAAAAATAATAATATAAAAACTTAGCCACAAAACACCAGACTATAAGCAGTTAGTTTTTAAGGCTGGAGCTGTGTGCCTGTTAAATTTCTTGTTGTAAGAGGTGATTATACTTATACTGAAATTGACCCTAAATAGGACTTCTGTTACATGATTTAACTTTACATCTCCCTCCAAAACACGAGTGGAAAAAAAAAAAATCACATATTTTTTATCTAATTATCTCTTGGTTTTAAAATATTTAATAAAAGAAATGCCAAGTGCTCCCACCAAAATGAAAGCTACTCATAAAACTGTGAAGTTATTAAAAACACAGAGAAATCTGTTCAAAAATTAAATTTTCTGTAAAATCTTTATTTAAAAGCTTGCAGTGAATCACTAAATAAGGTATGTCCAGTGAGTGATCAAAAAAAAAAAACCAACCTAAAACATACAGACACTATCCATACAACAAAATACAGAGAGCCCCACATTCCATATTTCTCTTTATATCCCATATTTGGCTGACACAGAGTTCATTAAGTTATTCTAATACTTTTCAATGCCTTTACTCTTATGACTGGGGAGGAGGAACAGGCAAGGACGGGCATTGGGAGAGTAGTGCAAGGTAAAAGACACTGTTTGGAAAAAATTCTTCTGTGACAATATAGTCCACTAGCACCAAGAAGGCTCTCCCACAACTATAGTAAAGTCATTAAGTTACTTTTTCTTCTTAATACATACACTCTTACCTGAAATTAAGCAACAGATTTATTTGCCACACTCAACAAAACCTGCAAAGGTTCTTTAATATTCTCACTTTTGAGCCTTTTCCTGCAGTATATTTACATTATTATTCTTGCCCTAATCACCTCCTGCTCCATCACTGAAATGCAGCATCACTGAAATACCACTTTTTGTGATATTTAGCATTATTTCCTCTAATGTTCCCAAAATACAAGCACTGATGCACAGATAAGCTCATTCTCATTCTTGAGAATCTCCCCCATTAGAAGACTGTAGGGACAAGCCTAAAGCCACATGAAAATTAACAATATTATGTTAGTGTTCCATTGGGAATCAGAACCTCAAATGAGGGTAAGATGCTGAAGCTGCTCACTCAATCCCTTAACACAAGAAAAAAAGCATGTAAAGACATCCCCTTGAAGATACTGAACGGTTCTTTAGATGATCAAAATCAAAACCTTCACAAGCAGTCACAATATACTGCATCTCCTATCTAGCTCCACAAGAAAAATGTTCGCAGCCATATGACCTAACACACATGAGATCATACTAGCAGTAGAAGCTCTTCAGGAGGCTTCATGAATTCAGAAGCAGACCATTCCTCATGCGCAAACTTTAAAATCTGTAGCAGCATGAAGTGACACAAACTTCTGGCAATAAGAAGTAGACTTCCTTGCAAATACTGCACCTGATTGAGAAAGTGGCCCCTCACCAAGAAAACTGTGAAGAAAAAAAAGCACATTCTCACTTCTCAGACCCATGAGACCCATCATTATCATCTAGATGAAACAGAATAGCAAAATATTCTGCTTCTAAAACTTTTGGTGCGTAAGCTGGAGATAAGGCCTGTGTGACATATGAAACACGGTTCAGAAACAAGCACTGTGAACATCAGAAGACATGTATTAACTACCGTGTAGACACAGCGGTACAGCCAAAGGTAATGTCATAACTTTTAATTTGGACTTGCACATACAAGCATTCACCTTAAGTCACAAACAGATCTCCTCCCTCAATTCCTTGTCAGTACCAGAAAACAGCTTACTGAGAACCGTTTTCTCTGAAACAAGAGGAACTAATCTCATCAAGTGTTAGATAGCTACAGTATAAGCAAAAATCCATATCCAAGATGGCCATATAGAACATTTTAAGGTAAAAGGAAAGAAAACAGCACTTACATATGTAACAGAAATCCATTCATTCCAGATTTGAGGTTTAAATTAGCTGCTTTCTGCAGGTCACTATTTCTCCCCACTGTCTATAAAGGGAGATTATTATAATTATCTCAGCTGTGGATGTCTACAACATAGATCAGAGTTTCATAGACAAAAACCACCCACAAAAGCCATTTCCATTGCTCCTCACTAAAAATAAAAAAAAGGGAATAAATGAAAAACTGATTCCTACGAAATAAAATATTAATGAAAGATTCTCAGGAAATGGATGTAAATACAGATGGAAGACAAAGAACAAACAAAAAAACAGATGTTGTAGCCTTCTGTAAGAGTAATCAGGACTCTTTAGACCAAGGTTTTTCAGCCTCAAACATTGGAATCAGGATTACCTGTCTCAAAAATGTTGAGAAGAAAGGGGAGGAAACCAGCAACAAGACTACCCCTGCGTTGCAACTCATTTGAAGCTAATGACACAACCGTGCTGCCAGTTTCAAATACCATTTGCAGAAAAAACACGGATGAAGGAAAAACATTTCATGATAATATGGGAAAACTCAGCCTTGTATCTGGTAGCAGAAATTTTCTTTAGAATGAAAAAAAAAATAAAGAGCCGTCTATTGTTTGAATGAAATTATCAGTCTTTAAAGTCTGGAACTACCATATTTTGTATCAGCAGAGTCTCTGTTGTTAGGAAACACCGTCCCATATGA